ATACTCTCATCAAACATGGTTTTCGACCAATCATAGCGCGCGTAGTATCCCAATTATTTTATAAAAAAGAATCAAAAATCTTGCATTTTTTGCTGTGTGGAGTTATAAAGCATTAGGGATTATTGGCAGAACACTCGAGAAGTGTCAAGAAGCACTCCGCTACGCCTCGTGCTTCTCATAACACTTCTATCGTGTTCTACCTATCCCCGCATGCTTTATAGCAGCACACAGTACGCGCGCGCGCTTTCTATTTCTTTATTACCATACCTTTAAAAACGTTAAGTCCTTCTTGTTCCCTTCTTTTCCACCAACAGTCTTAAAATCAACATCAAAGACATTTCCAACGCCATTTTCCCAGTGTCCATTCACATCTAGGGACTGCCATTCATCGACTGACAGGCCATTTTCAGCACAATCAACACGAGCCAAGTTGTTTTTGAATTTAATTTTTCCCTTGGCAGTTTCTGTAAGTGGCATTACTTCTAGGGGTTCGTTAGGTGTTCTGAAGCTGTATTGACAATCTATAATAATAATATATAATAATAGATAATGATGATGATGATGAGAATGATGATGATGATGCTGATGATAAAAGTAATAATAATAAGGATGATGATGATGATGATAAAAGTAATAATAATAATGATAATGAATGATGATGATGATGTTTTATGTCGTTTCTGAAAGCTAATATCAACTGACAGGTGAAGCATCCCTCAAAACAGCCCCATAATGCAATTTTTGACTAAAGTTTGTCAATGAATATCCTAACACTTGTTTCAAGCATTTTAAAAAATATTTTCTTTCATGCTGAAATAGTTACTCGTCGTGTCTCGCTCCTTTTTGCGAGGAAAAAGCGAAAACATGATCAAAAGTAATAGAAATATCTGACAGCTGTATTACCTTTGAATGTAATAACACCCATAAATGTAATACCCACCATAAATGTAATATAATCAACCATAAATGTAATAACAGTCAACCACAAATGTAATGACAACCATAAATATAATAACAGTCAACCATAAATGTAATAATCGACCCCACAATAAATGTAAGATTTATGAAATGTGTTTTTGCAACTCCGTAAAGATCTATATGTTAAGTGTATGCTACATCGAGTGTATAAGCCTCAGTGGCCGAGCGGTTGAGATCTCTCTAGCAAACGAGAGGTCAGTGGTTCGAGTTCCGCGAGAACCCAACTGAGGCAGATTTTTTAATCTGCTTATAACACTCGATTTAGCATACACTTAACATATAAATGCAAGATTATTTATCCATAAATGTAATATTTGAAACCCACTATAAATGTAATAACCCTCCAACCATAAATGTAATAACCAAGTATTCCGGAGAGTCAAACAAAGTGTTCGATCAACAAACAACTCTTTGCAGCATTGTTTGAGTGTTTCGTCAAACACAGTGGGTGGGGTCACTTTACCACGTAATAGCCTGCGTAGACAGCCGTTTTGCATACGGGTGTACATAATATTTTCTCAAAAATCACACGGTCAAGTGAATAGCCTGCGTCAACAGGAGCAAAGTTTCGCAAAATTTTGATAATAGTTTGAAAAATTAACTTATTTATTTATTTTAGGACTATTACATCATATTTTCTCTCKGTCACRAAACAAATCCCACAGTCACGTGATAAGCCTGCGTTATGTGACCCCCACCAACTGTGTTTGACGAAACACTCAAGGAATTCCTGTGGAGTCCTCAATGATGACTTCCATAATCGCAATTACAAAAACYTTTTAAATTGCAAAATGTTATTTGCAAACGAATGTAAAAGCGATACTAAAAAGGCAAGGAAAAATGTCAAAGGTTAAAAAGGATAACACTTTCTAGATTCCTTGTTCTATTAGGCGATCATTGAAAAKTCCTAGATTACAGTCAAAGGACATGAAGYGTTTCCATCTAGAATGCMTTATWTCCAGTTCATTATTCGATTTTTGACATCATTTTTCGTTTTCTAATATTCCATAATTAYTTTCGAAAATCAAATGAAATCTCGAAATCTGATTGCTCTGGCTAATCACAGGCTTTTTGGGCCGGAATTCTTTGCTTTTTGACTCGAGAAATATTTGTGAACAATTATAAACCACACGATGACACTCAAATACCCACATTTGCGTTCTGCTTTGCTGTGTTCATAATCTTTACATCAATTAACATGGAATTTTGCCTTTTCAGCACCTTTTTCATCGATTTAATAGATCAAATAAACTTTTGAGCGAGTAAAAAAGTCTAAGCAAACAGGTAGAGCGTCAATTTGAATCGAAGCGTTAGCGTAACGTTTGTTTCTGGGAAACTGGCAATTTTTACGTCGCAATCCTAATAAGGTCATATTCCTAACATTGACCAGCAACTGTATAACGGTTAATTCACAATTTTTAAGTCTTTTTAACCATTTGACATTTTAAAAAAGAATGGAATTATCTATTATATCGATAAGCAATAGAAATGTGGTATTATGTTTAGATATTTTGATTGATTTGAAGTTATTGTGAGAGACATRATTTTGTTGTTAGTAAATCTGCGTAATCGCTGGCCCGTAAAAATGAGACACTCAAYCCAAAACTTATTTCGAATCTTATATTGTTGGTTGCAAGCATTCCCAAGAGAGTTAAGAGACRAAAACATGGCGGCCATTGTGGTACCGTTAACAATGGATGCTAATGAGAAATCTTTTGTTAAATGGTACCAACATGGCCGCGTTGACGCGACGTGCAAACGAAGAATTGAAGAATTTCAAGAAAATCTATTGTCTTTAGGATCATCATCTCAGGTTATCGTTTTGTATCAGTTACAAACTTGTAYAAATGCTGAAAAGTAATCCAATCAAATTTCCAACATGTATAAAAGCAAGAGCTATTTTTAGAGTTGTCAGTTAATGAATGTTTATTCAGAGGAGCTGTTTGAAAGCAAATAATATAAGGTTATATTTTAAGATATTTCATTTTTGTCATGCATCGATCCTTTYGTCTCTGTACGTAATGTATGTGCCAAAACTACTGCATAAGCAAATCTTGAGCCAAAGTGATCAAGAGTTTAGTTTGTTTAYGCAATGACTTCGTAAACTAAATTTTGTTATAATTCAATTCTTTATCTTTTTAGTATCGAGCTTGAAGTTTTATTATTTCTATCTGATTTTTATTTAMGAATAAAATCAATTTGAAATTGCAAAATGTTGAAGCCCAAGCCGCGAAGGAATGAATATATTTGATGGGTTTTAACGCAGACTGAGTATGAAAAAATAGAAGATTCAAAATCGTAATAGGAAAAAAACTTTGAAGCGCTTTTTCGTCTGATAAAAAGCAAAATTATTAGTCTGAATAAACTTACTTGCAGATGAAATGCGATTTGTTTCTGAATAGTTCGTACATCTAACACTTGTCCCGTCCACAATGAGGACATTGGGAAAATCGTAAAGACATTGGCACATTTGGCAACATCTTCCACCATTTCTACCAGCACATGTTGATCTATCCTTGGAACAAGTAGACGAGCATTGTCGAGGATTGCTAAACAAATCTGCAAAATGAGTATGGTTCGTATCCGGATTAAGTCGTCGAACAACTACTATGTTCGCCGACAGGACTACAGAAAAGATTGCCCCGGTGATTAAAGCCAAAAATCCTAATTTCCAAAGCATCTTTAGCTCGAAATCCTTCTTCAAAGTATTTTTGGTTCTTCTAAAACTTGGGAAACTTTTCATATAATTTTAGTGATGGAGCTGTTGGTGTCTATGACGCAGTAATGAACCTTCTGGTGTAAGTCTTCGTAACTTGGAATGAATATTCCTTTGAATTATATATTAGCTTTGATTGAACGGAATGTTAACTAAAAGCCTCGCGGGGTTAAAGCAAACAAAAGAACTCAGCGTGGATGTTTGAAGGTAATTGTTATATCAGCATTGCGATTGCGAAAAAAAAAAAAAAAAAAAAAAAAAAAAAAAAAAAAAAAAGTAATAATAAAAAAACTGCAAAAGAAACGCATAGAGCAGGCAGTCGAAATTGGAATTTTTAAATGAAAAATGCTTCCTCTTTCATTGGTGTATGTCTAGATACTTTGAAATAACCAAAACCTCTTGAAAATGTTTATTAAACTGTTTATTTCAATATGAATATCTGAAATGTATGTTATGATGCATGGTCAATCACGTGAGATATTAGTGACGTCATAAGACATAATACTTGATTGCGAGGTTAACGTCAAATGATTATTGAGAAATATTAAAACGAAGACTGAAATATAGTCGGGAGAAGTTATACCAATACTTACATTTTCGACTATTATTAAATTGATATTTACGTATACATAATGTTCCCCTCAGCAACGATCAGCTCAATGGAATCAGTGAAAAAAGCATTGATCATTTACATTGTACAAATGTGCGTGTGCATGAGACTAAACAGCAAAACTGAGTGGATTTTCCAGTCCTGAATTAAGTATTATGGTTGTCGTAAGAAACAGCGTTACTCGGTTGTTGTTATATAGCGACGTTTTCGATTCAAGGCTCCTTGAACACTAGAAAAGAGAACTTCTAACACCAAGCGAATGTTTTGGTATCTAAAGAAAGGTATCTTCAGACTCTGATTGGCTGTTGTCAGTGGGAGGTGCGTCGTAATTATTCTTCACAGGTGGATTGTCGTAGTCTTCGTTCGTTTCTGCTGCACCTTTCACAGGGGGATTATCATAGTCCCCGGTATTGTTCATGGCGTCTTTGACCGGGGGATTGTCATAGTCCCCGGTATTTCCCTTGCCTCCTGTGACTGGTGGATTATCGTAGTCTACCTCAGGTTTTACACCATTCACTACTGGATTGTCATAATCTTAAGAAGAAGAAGATGAAA